GGAGCCAAACAAACAAAACAGTTATAATATTAAATCGAACCTAAATTGATTATAAAAGTCAGGTTTAGAAAACTAACTGATCACATAAGTCAGGGTCAGAAGGCTATACCTAGAGAGAGAGAGAGAGGGAGAGGGAGAGTGAGCTGGGTTCTCACCACTATATAAAGCTTGAATCAATCGGGCGTCCAAGGTGGTAGTGGTAGCTGAGGGTCCAGAGTGCTGGAGACAGACAGACAGCCCCCAGCATGATCAGTCAGGAGAAGATGAAGTCCCAGTGGAACTGATGCAGATTTTCAATCCAAGCATCAGAACACATACTTGAGCATGGGTGGGATATTTGTAGGGACAGAACAATGGTTCAAGGGAGAACACTAGATTTGTTTATGGGTAAACTGATGGCTCATAGGAGTATACCAAAATTGTATTGTATTCAGGCTAGAGAATAGGAACTGATCCTTCCTGGCTCTGGGTGGTGGTCCTTTGAGGGAGCTCACAATGCAATTAGGCAGCTTCAGTATTTTGGATACCAATAAAGGATTTATTACTAGAATAGGTCTGATCACTACTGAGTTGGGTGTGTGCAGGCATGGGTTCATTAGACTCTGGAGCAGAGATCATACAGTGATTCCCAGCTTTTCTGGTCCCAGGGTTCAGTGCATTTCTTGCCTTGGAATCTCTGTTCTCCATTCAGTCTGCTAATGGGGATGCCTCCCTGTCCCATCCTTGATGCAAATGAGGCGAGGGGAGTTTCCTTAATCCTGTCACCCTTGTCCCAGGGGTTTAGGTGTGTCTCCCACCGCCTTTTCATTGCTTGTTGTAAGTCTTTCTTCTGATCGGCTTTGGTTCAAGCAGAGGCTGGGTGGGGGGAAGGTCTTTCATGAGTCAGACAGGCTGGATACTGCACTCTTGTTCCCCAAGAACACAGAGCTGACAGGTAACAGCTTCTGATTATTTAATCACATAGCTATAAAATTCACCTGGCTCTTTTTAAGATTGTTAGGGTGAGAAAAATGGAGACGGGTAAGGAGAATTGCTGTTAAAGAATAGCTGAACCAATGTATAGTAAATATATAAATAATTCAAAGTAGAGTAGATGAAGAGATACTAGATAAGTTTACAGATGAGGTGGTCCAAGTATTTGTATGTCCCTAGTTTCACAGCATTGTAATCTTAACTATACTTGTCTGGAACTTGGCATTCTTTTAAACTTTTTATTTTCTTTTAGTTTTATGTTGGAAACTGGAAGAAGTTTGAAGTGGTATTCGCAAGTTTGCAAAGAAGAACTGAGTACATACATGAAGACATTCTTTGACATGTAGGAGAGTGTTATCAGATTCATATGTGCACATTAGTAGATAAATATTTAAACAATTGGCAGGCAAGTGACACTCATTTTAACTGTATAGAATTGGCATTAGTTTAGCAAATTGTGATACTGAAAGTCTACTCTGTAGTAGACTCATGGAAAATTCTGTCTTGTAGTTTTTTAACTTGTTTTAGTGTTAGTTTCCTGCTATGCCCAGATCCTTTTTGCATAGTTAACGCATAGACTTAATTTTATAAGTTTATACTAAACTTGTGTAATTAAAAGCACAAATTAGTATATATGTATATAATGATTACATACAACTAAAGCACAGGAACTGTGCAAAGATGTAAATTTTTGTACTTTGCAGAGTCTATGATTTTTATTTTTCAAATAATGTTTTTCAAGAAGTTCTCTGGGGGAAAATCGTAAAAGGATAAATGAGTTTTTCATCATCTTATATGCATTTTATAATTCTTTGTAAAAAATAAAAATAATTAAGTTTAAAAAGATTTGTACCTAAAACTTCCAGTGCTTCACATTTGCAACCGTAATACTTGAAAGCAGAAAGAAAAAGGACATGTTTTGTTGCTCATTTAAAAAACATCATCTTAACGCCTTCATAAGTAACTTTGGCTAAAACAATGCATTGTGTTTTTCCATATATATGATATGATATTTGGTGACTACACACTGTGTATAGTGGGTTTCCCTTGTATGTGAAATCACTGTAAGGCATATAAAGCAGTGCATACTGCTAAATGGGGTGGAGGGTAGATCTGTTGTTGCTCTCACTGTTGTTCTACTTTATCCAATTTCTGATATTTAAGTAGGAGAAATGAGTTACTCAAAGAAAATATGAAAAATATGTAATCTAAAAGATGTGAACAGTAGTATAAACAGTGGAATGTGTTAGTGAAGACTACCCGATCCTCCCTAACAACAAATCTGGATTTTAAAAAACCAACCAAAAGCCATTAAACATGGTTCTTGTTCAGTTATGCTGCAAAATATGGAATTATCTTTGAATATTTTCCCTAAAAATAATGGAATTAATGATCTGTACAATAGCTCCATTTTTTTAAAACTTCCTGGCTCTCCCTAGCAGCTCTTTTCCCCCCAAGTTGAGAACTAGCAGTGTCAGGCATACTTTGATTATAGTTGAAATTCTTTTTGTTATTGACCTAAGTAGGAGCTGTTGGATGCTCAGTACTTTTGAAAATCAAACAGGTGCCTAAATATGGGTTTAGATGCCTAACATTGTGCTCCTATGTTTGAAAATCCAGGGCTAAACTTATTAGGGTCTTGTCCTATAGGTCCTCACCATTAGGAGTTTAACACATGCAGGATTGGACTTCAGGTTTAAACCTAATCTGTTTATCTACTCTGATCAGTTTTCTAGGTGGACCACATCAGTTTATAAGTGGAGTGCACTGTATTTAAGGAATATTTGCAATAATGCTTCATTTTAAGTAACACCAAATTCTAGCGGGTGGGTGGTGTGTGTGTGTGTGTGTGTGTGTGTGTGTGTGTGTGTGTGTGTGTGTGTGTGTGT